TTTTTCCATCAGCATCCCTCAGGGCAGCAGCATCACCTTTTTTTTTTTCCAAGGACGTTTCAGTCCACGCATATTTGTGCGCTATGTGCAGTAGAACAGGAGAGGGGAGCAACAGCTGTGATGGAAAGGAAACCTGTGAGTTTTTTGGGGTTTGAACCGTGATCCAGAGTTCTCTCCCTAAACTCCTGATGTCTTTGACCTGCTGACCCCGGCTACCTGGAGATCGGCACAGATTGTTCCTTCCCTATTGCTTTATGTCTCACTGTCCCTAACAGTAGGGAAGTGTATTTGCAGAAAGGCTGAGAAGAAAATGTGGTTATGAAAAAAAAAAACCCCAATGAAACAACCTATGGCTTTTCCGACAATACGTGGAAGTGTTTTATCTGGTTCCTTGACGTTCAGCTCGTTTCCTTGCTTAGCTTCATCACAAAATATTTCGTAGTGAAACTAAAGAATTTCTTCTTCCCGCTTCACAGGGGGACTTTCTGAAACTCTTTGACGTGGGGTATGACACTCCTGGGGAAACAGTCATTTGCTCCTCTGCGTTGGAAAACTGCTGTGACGGAGCTTTCTGGCGAGCTCTGCTCTGCCGGTGGCGTGGAGCCCTCGCGGGGTGTTGCAGCTTCTGCCTTTGGGAGGAAAGAAGGTACAAGCAAGTTGCTGGGCTCAGCTGTGACTGTGCTCCTGGCGCGATGGCTTGGCAGTAGGAGCAGAAGCAGCGCAGGTTCCCCTGGCAGTGGTGCTGGGTGGTTGGTTTGGAGCGCCTGAACAAAAAAATAACCACGGGATATAAGAGTCAGTTAGGCGGGTCGCTGGCTTTTTTCGTGATGATGTCTCGAAGCCGTATCTGGTTTTAAAACGAGCCTTTGGAGCAGGGCACTGGTTGCTGGTTATCGATTCCCCCTCGCCGGGGGGCTAACGCAGCTCTGCAGCCCCTGTCGGTAGCGGCTCTTTGATGCCCAGCCTGAAACCGGTTTCCTCACCTACAGGAGGGAAGTCCATGTCACAAGGCAGCATCTCATCAAGAGCTGATTTGACAGCCTTATTGGCAGCCCTCGCTGCGAGGCCGAGGAGTTGCCGGAGCAGGGATGTCGGCACGGCCGTCCC